ATGTGGGATCCGAACCGGGGCCCTCTGGCATCCCAAGCCAGTTCTTAACCATCGTGCCACTCGGCCGGCCCTCATTCAGTTTTTAAGTGAGATCATATGGTATTTATCTTTCTCCAACTGACTTATTTCACTTAATAGTCTCTAGGTCCATCCATATCATTGCAAATGGTACGATTTCATTCTTCTTTATAAAGCGGAGTAATACTTCATTTTATAAATGTACCAATTTCTTAATCCAGTCTTTTACCGATGGGCATTTCGGTTGTTGCAAACAATGACTTTTATTTCTTTCATTATTCTTTTTATATGTTGTTATTTTCAATTTGCATATATTTTATTTAGGATTTTTATATCTAAGTTCAGGGATGAGATTATCCTATAAATTTCTTTCTTATAATACTCTTAATCTGATTTTTATAACAAAGGTTATGATAACCTAGTAAAATCAATTGAGCAGTGTTCTCGTTCTTATTCTCTGAAAGAAATTAAGATTGAAATTCTTGGTCTTTGCAAGTTTGATGGAACTTGTCAGTGGAATCATCTGACCCTGTGGCTCATTTTCTGGGAAGATATTTGACTGCCAATTAAATTTCTTCAATGGTTATAGAGTATTTAGGTTTTAAATCTTCTTTTTGATTTAGTATTGGTTAGATATATTTTTCTAGTAATTTGTCCAATAAGGCTGAAGATCAAGTCATGAAGGGTCTTGAACGAGTCTTGAAGGGAGAAATATGGTCATATTTTCATTTTTAAAAATGAAAATTCTTTTTTGTGTACCAAAAAATATGCTAAGCACTGATAAAGTTGACAAAACAGGTTTTCCACCCTTGGAAAATTCACAATATAGTGGAAGAGGAAGTTAGGAACAAATTATAATACAGTATAATAAATGCTGATAAAGAAACAAAGTTTATGAGGGCAGATAGCTTACTTTGAGACTGAAGTTTGACTTTTGAGTTTCTTTTTGATCAGTTCCACTCAGCATCTCTAAGCATCCTCAGACTTACATTACAGACAAACATCTAAATCCCCTGGGAGCTATTAAGATGGGATAGTCTTCCACAACATTTATCATTTTAAGGTGTATAAATCAGTGGTTTTTACTATATTCACAGCATGTGCATCCATTACACTATAATTCCAAAATGTTTTCATCCGCTTAAAAGAAACACCTCATCCATTAGCAATCATTCTCTATTTCCCTCTTCCCACAACTTCTCGCAACCATTAATTTACTTTCTGTGTCTATGGATTTGCCTGTTCTGGACATTGTACATAAATGAAATCATACACTAATAAATAATTAAATAAAGATGGGATAGCCAGCCTAGAGAAGCTTGAGTTATCTGACTCCTTTCTGGACTTAATCCCCTAGACCAGGTGTAGGCAAACTTTTGAGACGGAAGAGCCAGTCCTGTCCCTCACAACAATTTAAAAATTATTCGAGAGCCATAAAACAAATGAAATCACCATTATGTGAATAATATCCTTTAAAAATTTTATAAGTGAAACTATGATAGTTTTATTTTCATCTTCAGTTTTTCTTCAGAGCCACATGTACGAATCCAAAAAGCCGCATGGGGCTCGCGAGCCACAGTTTGCCGACCCCTGCCCTAGACCTGTGTTCATTGTTTCAACAGAGCATATAATTCAGTTTTATGAAAGCCAATGATTTCTCTTTTCTTCTCTCTAGGTGTGGAGAATATCCAGGAAGTGGCTGCAGTTCTACCTCTGATCTGGCTGCCATGTATCATGGACGAACTACTGGTAAAGGACCCTCCACTCCCACACAGATTTTCGAGCAACCTCCGAGGATTCTCATTGTGCATATCGCTCTACCATCCTGGGCTGACATCTGCTCCAACCTCTGTGAGGCTCTGCAGGACTTTTTCTCCCTAGCCTGCAGCTTGATGGGCCCCAGCCGCATGTCCCTCTTTAGCTTATACATGGTACAAAATCGGCACGAGTGTGTCCTCCCCTTTGTGGTGAGTATATCTGCATTTGTTCATTTTATCCTGAAAGGAAAGATGAGGTTTCTGGAGCAGAGATCACAGTAATTATTACTTATAGCATTAACTGTGCTCGTTCTTACACTCAATACCACAGGCAACACAATGAGAGCCAGATGTCATCCTGCACATAAGGAAGCGGGCAGGGAGGTTGTACTGCAAAAGAGAAATCCCAAAATTATTACTATGGGTGTTTAAATAGGCTACCTTTTGCCCCCTCCACTCTTGAGAGAAGGAGAGAAACCTTGGCATTTACAGACCTTTGGAATATAAGCAACTGACTCTTTTCACACAGACCCCTTTGAAATGCAAACACAGGGAAATCCGTCTCCAAATTTCTTCAGAAGCCTCTGGTTATTCAATTACCCTTTAACTTTCAAGACTTGTTCTTTATCCCAGGTTCCAGTTTTCTTTGCTCAGAAAGCCCTAACTGCAGAAACATGAAAATGTGTTCTCTCTTGTTTCACATAGGACTCAAATGAAACTCCCCCTAGAGGTTCAGAAGGCAAAGGCTGGGCCAGGGGTAATGCTTTTACAAAGCTCCCTTACACATAGACAACTGTCTGTCCTCCTCCTCAATCAAATTTAAATCTACCCTTGATCCCCTATACAAAGTTCAGAATCACAGGGTGGGAAAGATTTCAGAAGCTCTAGTGCATCCCCTTCCTGAGGCAGCCTTGCTGCTGGGATAGTCAGTGAAGGTCTACTGGAGAGCCAGGACTTTTGTCCCTACCTGATGGGAACAACATCTCCTCCCCTTAGTGTCCATGGGAGCCATGTGGGAGTCCAGGCTCCCAACATTAACAATGACTGTGCCCCTGAGGCAGAGTGAAGGCCAAGGTAGGGAGTGACAGTGAGGCACCTTTTTATTTCCAAGGCACGCTGGTGTCAGTGAAGGCCTAGTGAAAATCCAGGACTTCTATGCCCACCTGATGGTAATGAAGCTTGCCTATCCCCAGAGTGGGGGCCATATGGGGAGACTGAACTTCCACCCCTACCCAGAAATAACAAGGCACCCCCCCTTCTGGATTGTAATCAGAGGCCAAATAGAGTCACACCCCACCTGGCAATAATTACCTGGAAACCTCACTTCCCCCACTGACACAGTGTCAGAGGAGCCCTGCTAAAGCACAAGAGTTAAACAAGACCCAGATCCTTATAATACCCAAAATGTCCAGAATACAATAAAAAAAAATCATTCATCAAGAACCAGGAAAATCTCAACTTGCATGAGAAGACAACAAACACCAACATTTAAATGACACAGATGTTGGAATTATCTGAAAAAGATTTTGAAGCAGCCATCATAAAAATACTTCAACCAGCATTTATGAACATTATGAACATGCGTTGAATAAATGGAAAAATAGAGAAAGTCTCACCACAGAAAAAGAAGTACAGAGAAGAACCAAATAGAAATTGTAGGGCCGGCCAAGTGGCGCATTGGTTAAGAGCTGGCTTGGGACGCCAGCTCTGAGCAACAGGGCACTGGTTCAGATCCCACATGAGGACCAGTGACACTGCCCTCTATAGCTAAGATGGTGAACAACAGCTGGACCTGGAGCTGGGCTGCCGTGAGTCACTGGCAACCACGTAGGCTGCAGCCCCTGCTGCAGTGGGCTGCCATAAGCTACCGTGTGTAGCCGGCAGCCAGCGTGAGTGGCCAGCAGTCAGTGTGAGCTGCCAAGAGCCTCTGTGAGCGGCTGTCCAGAGGCCAGCGACCAATCGGCCTCACCCAGGAAGAGCGCAATGATCACAGTAACAACATGGGCCAGTGAAGCGACGTCCTCCACAACTAGACTGAAGAGCAAAAGGACAGCAACTTGTCTGTTCTCCTCCCCCAACTCCCCAATAAAATCTTTTAAAAAAAAGAAATTGTAGAACTGAAAAATACTATAACCAAAATTTGAAAAACAAAAACCCTCAATAGATGATCTCAACAGTAGAATAGAGAGGTCAGGAAAGAATGAGTGAACTTAAAAATAGAATAGAAATTACCAGTTCTGAGCAACAGAGAGAAAGTAGACTTTAAAAAATGAACAAAGCCACAGGAACCTGTTAGACTATAACAAAAGATCTAACATTTATGTTACCAAGAGTCCAAGAGGAATGGGGAAGGAAGGTAGGGCTGAAAAAAACATTCGAAGAGGTAATCACGGAAAATTTGCCAGATTTGGCACAAGTTATAAACCTAAATATTCAAGAGGCTGGCTAGCCTCAAGCAGGATAAATGCAAAGAAATCTGCTCTAAGGCACCTCATAATCAAACTTCTAAAAACTAAAGACAAACTCTTGAAAGCAGAACATTGACACCTTACCTATAAGAGGGGGGGGAAAAAATCAAGTAACAATAGATTTTTTTTTTATCAGAAACCATGGAGGTCAGAGGAAGTGTCACATTTTTCAAATGCTGAAAGAAAAGAACTGTTAACCTCAAACTCTGTATCCAGTGAAAATACCCTTAAGGAATGAATCAGAAATAAAGATATTCTCAGATGAAGGAAAACTAAGAGAATATGTCACCAGCAGACTTATATTAACAGAATGACTAACGAAAGTTCTTGAAACAGAAAGAAAATTCTAAAAGAATATTGGAATACCCAGAAGGAAGAAAGAACAAGGGCAAGAAGAAAATATGGATAAATATAATAGACTTTCTGTTGAGTTTTCTAAATTATAGTTGACAGCCGAAGCAAAACTTACAACATTTTCTGATCTGGTTGATAATAGATATAGAGGAAATATTTAAGATAATTACATTATAAAGAGGGGAGGGTAAAGAGACTTGAAGGAAATTAAGGTTTCTACACATTTGAACTGGTAAAATGTGACACGGTTGACACCAGTAGACTGCGATAAGTATGTATTTATAATAACACTTAAAGCAATCACTTAAAAAATCTATACAAAGAGATAGATCCAGAAACACTATAGATAAATTAAAATGGAATTCTAAAAATATACATACAGTAATACCTTGGTTTGTGAGCATAATTCATTCCAGAAATAAACTACTCATATTGCAAGATATTGCTCATTTACCACATTAAAATGTATTAGAAATGTTTGCTCATCTTGCAGAACCCTAGCAAACCAAGTTATTCGCAATCCAAGGTATTACTGTATTTAAGCCCACAGGGAGATGGGTAAAAGAAAATAGAGAAATTAAAAACTGAAGGAACAAACATAAAACACCAAATAAATTGGCAGTCTAACATACCAATAATTACCTTAAATGTATTGGATTGTCAGTGTATTGGAAAGTCATGACGCATTTTTGCATTGAAAAACAGAAAAATTTGTCATGACTTTCCCAATGACTCAATAAATGGTCTAAATACACCAATTAAAATAAAGAGATTGGCAGAGTGGATTGGGGATGGGGGATAACCCAATTGTATCCTGTCTATAAGAAACTAACTTCAAATACAATAAAAGTAGGTTGAAAGTAAAAGGATGGGAAAAGATATACTGTGATAACATTAATCAAAACAAAGCAGAATTGGCTGTATTTATATATCAAATAAAGTAGACTTCAGAACAAAGGATATCAGGTACAGAAAGGGATATTAGATAATGGTTTTTTAAAAAGCCAATCCAACAGGAAGACATAGCAATCCTAAATGCATACCCACCAAAAAATAGCTCTGTGAAATATGTGACGCAAAAACTGATAAAACTGAAAAATAGGCAAATCCAAAATTATAATTGGAGATGTCAATGCCCTGCTCTTTACTATTGATAGAATAACTTGAGAGAAAATCAACAAGGATGTAGAAAACATTAGCCAAAAGGATCTAATTGACATTTATAGAATACTTCATCCAACAACAAGAGAATACATATTCTTTTCAAGCATCCACAGGACATTTATCAAAATAGACCATATCCTGAGCCATAAAAGAAATTTCAACAGATTTGAAAGAGTTGAAGTCATATACATATGTTCTCTGACCACAATGGAATCAAACTAGAAATCAATAACAGAAGCATAACAGGAAAATCTCCAAACATTTGGACACTAAACAACGCATTTCTAAATAAATCATGGGTCAAAGAAGAAATGTCAAGGGAAATTTTAAAATTATATTGAATGAAAATTAAAATACTACATGTCAAATATTGTAGGATCCAGCTAACATAGTGCTGACAGAGATATTTATAGCACTAAATGTTTACATTAGTATCAGGAAAGTTTCAAATCAGTAATATAAGCTCCCACCTCAAGAAACTAGAAAGGGGGACCAGCTGGGTGGCTCAGTTAGTGAGAGCACATGCTCTTAACAACAAGGTTGCCGGTTTGACTCCCGCATGGGATGGTGGGCTGTGTGCCGCCCTCCCCCCACCACCACACACACACACACACACACACACACACACACACACCTGCAACTAGATTGAAAGCGGAGACTGGACTTGGAGGTGAGCTTGCGCCCTCCTCAACTAAGATTGAAGGACAACAACTTGACTTGGAGCTGATGGGTCCTGGAAAAACACAATGTTTCTCTTCCCCAATTTCCCAACACTGTTCCCTTCACCAATTCCCCAATAAAATCTTTAAAAAAAAAAACTAGAAAGGAAAGAGTAAAATAAATCTAAAGCAAGCAGAAGGTAGGAAATAATAAAGAGCATAAATCAATGAAATTAATAACAAAATTGAAACAAAAAGTTAATTCTTCAAAATGATTAATAGATTTGACATACCTCCAGCAAGATAGACAAAGAAAAATAGAATATATCACTTACAAATATTAGGAATGAAACAAAGAGTATCATTACAGACCCAGTAGACATCTAAAGGATAATAAGAGAACAGTATGAACAAGTTTACGTATATATGCATAAATCTGAACACATATAAGATCTGACAATTAAGTTTGAGAACTCATCCTAGAAAAAGTGCTGCATATCTCATTACTGAATATCACTACAGTCACCTTCAAAGTACTCCCTTGGGAATCTATGCACCAACTCTA